GCCCAAATTGCCTTGAAGTCACAGCAATCTGTTCTCTGCCTCCCAAATGCTGGAATCACAAGTGTGCATCACTACACTGGCTCTGTTTTCCGTAACTCAAATATGTACAGTTAAGAATAGCAGACACTATGATACTCAAATCACATGTTTCTTATCTTCTCTCTTCTAAGGGCACCAGTCACTGGAATTAGGATACATCAGATAATACCAGATGATCTCTTCATCTCAAGGTCACCAACTTAATCACATTTGTACAAGCATTTTTCCAAATAAAATAACATTCATAAGTTCCAGAGTTTAGCATATAGACATGTCTTCTTGGTGATGGGTTGTAGGGAACAAGCAATGGAGACGGTGTTATCATAGCTTTGCCTCAGGCATTACCATCATCTCACATTTATTCAGGGATTGTCATGTGCCAAAATCCAGGCTAAGCTTTTTATGGAAGTATCTCATTAATGTGGCCTGACCCTCCCCCCCGAGTTACTATTATTACTGTCATTTGCCAAAGAAGAAGTTACGATATAGATGGATTAAGTAACTTGCCCACATTCACACAACTAAGAAGTGGTGCTGCTTGGTACAAGCTGTCTGACTTCAAATCCAGTATCCCTAACTACAGCTCTAAGCTTCAACTTCAGCCAAAGCTGGGGATTTGGTTTCATGGAGCTGCAATGGTTTGGTTTTTTTTGTTTTTGTTTTTGTTTTTTTTTTTACAAGCATCTTAGTATAGGTTCCATAGGATGGCTTGCATAGTTATACTGCTGATTTCTGCAGGTCTGTTGAAAGGAACAGTTAATGCTTAATTTTTTTCCTTTGTTCAGATTATATCTGATAATCTGAACAACTAACTTGCAGACAACGATATTGAATGCAACAACTACTGCTGAATTATTATTTTGCTTAGTGAAATTCTGTATCATTTTTAATTTTTTTAAAGATATACGTTCCCTTGGGAATGGAAAGTCTCATACCAAACTGACTTTTGAGGTTTTTTTTTTCTTTTTTGGTTTCAGGACTTGAAATCAGGCCCTTGTGCTTTCCAGGCAGGTGCTTGTGCTGCCAAGCTATAGCCCTGGCCTTCTGTCTTAAGTTTTAATTCTACCTCTGTCCCCTTTTATCTGTGTTACCTCCCTGAACTTCTGTTTGCCTTATGATTAACTGAGAAGGAACCATCCATCCATTCATTGTATGGTGCTGTGAGCCAGGTAAGCTTTACCTGTTCTGGTGCTGTGCAGATCGAAAGATCTAATGTATGTAATTCTCCTGCTGTGGATTACATTCTTGGCAAAAGAAGCTATTATTATTATGTAACTGGAAAGAGGGAGGGAGGGAGGGAGAGGGAGGGAGAGGGGGAGAGAGAGAGAGAGAGAGAGAGAGAGAGAGAGAGAGAGAATGGAAGGAAGGAAGGAAGGAAGGAAGGAAGGAAGGAAGAGGAGGAAAGGAAAAGCGTGAAGTGAGGAGGAGTTATATGTGGAAGGAAATCAGGAAGTTGCAGAGATATAGGCTAACTCCAATGACAGAGATCGAGTTACAAGGGAGGCAAAAGGCCAGGCATGGTGGTATGCATCTGTAATCTCAGCATTCTGGAGGCTGACGCGGGAGGATCACAATGAGTTCCAGGCCACCATGGATGGACAACAAAGTTCAAAGCCAGCCCAAACTGTATAGTGAGACCCTGTCTGAAAAATAAAAATAAAATAAAACAAAGGCAAGCAAAGGCCAGGTCCTCAGGCAGGCCATTACCAACGCTGGAGAGCAAGACCACAGGCACGAATCACTGCATGGATTTACAGCAGGTGAACACACGAGGGCGTGTGGCCTTCACAGGACGCTGGCTCAGAACCTCCGGGGACACTCAAGCCCCAGCTCCCTTCTCTCTGTGTTGGCCAATGGACTCAGAATGTGAAGGAGCCTGAGGGAAGGTGAAGGCACAGGCCATTAATAGGAGCCTCTCTGGGATGTAGGAAGAGCACATTCCATTTACTGACCTGTAGGAGAGACTAAAGGGAAAGTAAAACAGACCTAGGAGATCTGAGAGTAGATGTCTGAGGGAACAAGTCGTAATGCAGGGGATTAAAAATTACCTCCTAAAAAAAAATTACCTCCTAACCTGGAGATGAGATAAGTCTCTGGATAACTGTAACCCCACACAGGAAATATAGGAGAGTTCCAAATTTAAAGAAAGGAGCCTCAGTGAAGTGCAGAAATGTCCAGCCAAGATCATGAGAAAGGACAGTGAAACTCCCTGTCACTATAGGGTCTATATATATATATATATATATATATATATATATATATATATATATATATGGCAGGCTGAGAAGAAATCTACAGTGAAAAAAATGAAGCCAGTCCTGAGGTTAAGACTCTATAAAGAACTTTAGAAAGCCTGAATAACGCTGTTTAGAAAGACTTGTCACAAAATGCAGCAGTTTATAATCCGGTTTAGTGGTACACACCAGGAATCCCAGAACTCTAAGAGGCTGAGACAGGAGGGTTGCAAGTTTGCACCCAGCCTGGACAATTTAGTACCTTTGTGAGACTATTCAAAACAAAAACCAGGGCCGGGGAGATTGAGTTCAATCCCTGGTTCTGCCAAAAAAAAAAAAAATATATGGCCGTGGATATAGTTCAGTGTGAAGGCCCCTGGTACCTTCACAAAGTACTAGGAAAAATGACAACTTTGAAGTTAAGTCCATTTATTACTTGCCTGCTGGCGGTGTGGTACTGGGCCAAGTCACACAACCTCTCAGACTTTACTTCGCCTTTCAGATGGGAGTAGTAGCAGTGTTACTAGGTAAAGGCTAAATGCTACAGTGGATATGAAAGCCTCTGGCACAGGGAATTTCAAGACTTTCCTTTAATGGGAAACCATGGGACCTGGAGACAGGTTGTGCTGACTGAGGACAGTATCGCACTGCCAGGAGATTAAATTACTGTAGAGTTGGACTTAGATTAGACAGCCTTTAAGGAACCTTCATTCACTGAGGATATAATCAGTAGATCAGCAGATATAGGAAGTGTCATCACAATCTACAGTGAATGCTTAAATGTAACATTTATTGCACTAAAACCACATTGCCATTCATCCAGCTCAAAATACTCCCCCTCATTTTGAGCCCACTGGCCCATCATTCTTTCCGCCTTCTGAAGCAGTTCTGGAATTCCTCCTTTGCAAGCGCCTTTATGGGACATGGATGCTGCTGCCAAGGGACAGTCCATGAAAAAGCAGGCTTGTAAAACATTGCTGTGTCCTCATCCGCCTGACTCACTAGGTCTGGTGGCACCATGGGACTCTTCGTTCTTCTTCAAAATCAAAATGACCACATAAAATAAGTGTTTTGTGTCATTTGTTTTTGGTGCTGCTGGGGACTGAATGCAGAACTGTGCACAGGCCAGGCAAGCACTCTGCCAGTGAACTGTGTCCCCAGATTTGGTTTTGGTTTTTTGAGACAGGGACTTGTTGTGTAGCCTAGGCTGTCCTTGAACTCACAGCAGTTCTCCTTCCTCAGCCTCCCTACTGCTGGGATGATAGGGGTGAGTCACCACGTCCAGAAGCTTCAGCTTTTTGAATCATTTCAAGATTTGAGACAGCTATGAAAGCACAGATAAGACACTCTGAAAAGAGAATTTCCAGAACTGCTTTTGAAAATGGCAAGAATAATGGGATCTGTTCAAAGCAAGAGGGAGGATTTTGAGGAAGATCAATTGCAATTTGTCGTTTGTTGTAGTAAGTTTGTATAATGTAAACATTCACTGCTTTTTTAACCACACAGTGTATAATGTTAATCACATATTGTAGGCAAGACCCGTGAGAAGTCCAGAAAGACATGAGATCTGAACATTCTAGTCTCAGCTCAGCTGCTACCTCCTCAGGGAAAATTTGCCAACTTTCCAGGCTTAATTGGTGTCACTTCCTCTGCCTTCATTACTGTTTATGCCATTCTCTTGTTTTATTTTCTCCATAATTCTTAATCCAATCCAACATTGCCATTTTAATGTGTTGACTTTCTGTTACATACACACACCCTGACACAAAAGCTCTGATAAAACTTGTGCAAGCCTACATTCTGTGTAAGAAATGGTCCTTGTGGGCTGGCCAAATAGCTCAGAGGATTAAAGTGCTCACAAGGAGGTACAGGGGCTGGGGGTTCGATCCCCAGGCCTGCCAAGCCTGCCATGTATACCAGCCCCATCCCCAGGGCATGCTGAGAAGGCAATTGAGACTGGGCATGGTGGTGCGCACCTGTAATCCCAATTCTTGGGAGGCTGTAAACAGGAGGATCACTATGAGTCCGATCTAGTGGTGAGACCCTGAACACCCTGTAGACTCTGCCCTAAAACACACACACACACACACACACACACACACACACACACACACACAAAGAGCTCATGCAATTAGAGAGATGTGGCAGCATCAAAGTGAGAGCTCTGGGTCAAGGGCAGGAGCTAACTTTCACCCAGGAGGTGGGAGTTTGAGTGTTGCATCTCAAATGAGATTTTGAAGGACAGATGGCATTTGAGAGAGGGGAGCCAGTGGGGGCGGGGAGCAAGGGAATGAGCACAGCAGCAGCAGCTGCTTGAATGCCACTAGTCACCAGACTTGCTCCTCATCCAGGCATATAGGAATGAACGAGCCAGAGAAAGGCCTGGCTGTGGAGTGGTGCTTAAATTCCCGTGAAAAGCCACAAAAAGGAGGGGAGACAGTGATGGACACACATGGATAACAATAAAGATGTTGGAGAGCACAACTCAAGGTAAGGAATGGAAAGGGGTGAAGGCAGAGGCAAGTGGATTTCCTTTGGAGACAAGCATAAGGGCTGTCCTTGAAGAGGCTATGATTTTCTTGTGTTTGCAGTTTATCTTATTCCATTGACTAAAACATGACTATATAATTTTGTGATACTCAATTATGAAGACTCACATTGTAATAGATACGCATTTCCAGACTATAATTCCTTCTTGAAGCATTGACTGGTTATCGGAATCTCCTGGCTTTTGATCTTCCTGGATGGCTATGTCAAAACATTACTGGGTAGCCTGCTCAAATTTGCTTGCCAGTTAATTATTACTGGGTTCTTGGTTGCCTTTCTCCTTTTCTGGGGTTAGATTCCAGGTTCTTCTTGTCTCGAACAAAAAAATTAAACAAAACAAGCAACAAGCAGTGGCAATGTTTAAAAGTTAAGAGTGAGAGAAACTGTCTTTGCAGAGAGAGATTGGGCTAGTAACAGAAGCAAAAAAAGATAAAAAGACACCCTGGAGAAAGCAGGGCTGGCTATAGCGAGGAAAGTCATGATGGCAAACTCTGCTTGGCATTCGCACTAGTTATGCTGTCTAAATCTCAAGAAACGTGCAAGGACATCTATGTGTGGGTCCTGAGAGGTAGTGCTGAGATCTCACACTTCAGGCTAAGGTCAGGTGTGGGCCACCCTACTGGAAACTGCTGGAGTTCTCAAGAGAAGGCCACGTTCAGGGCTTTAGGAACTGTTCCACGCATGTGTTCTGGGATCTTATAATTAACAGATCATGCCTACTTCCTCAACCAGCTTTGCCACACGTAAATGTTCTATCTCAAAGTCTTCTTTCATTCACCCCTGATTTTAGATACCACAAAGGAGAACAAACATCAGTAGCATACCAAAAAAGGTAAAGAATGAAACAATTTAGCACCTGTCCTTGTACCTTTTTAGCACAAGAAAACATATAAATTTTTTTAACAGATTACTGTCTGTGCTACAGTATCAGAAGGCTGAAAGCAATTTTTAATATCATAATTTGGTATCAGTTGACAAAGTGATTATTCTGATCAGAAAGGAAAGAGGGTTTCTCTCTCTCTCTCTCTCTCTCGGAACTGGGAATTGAACTCAGGCCCTTGTGCTATTCTATTGAGCCATCTCCCTGGCCCTGATGGTTACTTTGAAGCTGATACCCCTCTACTTTGCAAGGCTGAGTCTACCAACATTCAGTCTTTCTCTCTCTC